AGGAAGAAGAGTGGAAACCAGTGGGTCTAACTAGGGCTGCTTGCATGAGCACGGTGGGGTTATTTATAAGGACATGAGCAACAAGGGGACATTTACGCCGCTGATGAAAAACTACTCCCCTCCCCCAGCAGCCATTAACTTCCAGTGGCTCTGGGGGAAGAGAAACAACTAAGGGTTCAAGAAACATTGATCCTCAACCAAACCACTCGGTTGCTAAGTCACAAGCCACTAAGTGAAACAAAACAGCAAAGGAACAGCCACCATTTACTGAGCACACACAATCTCACAATAATTCTTTAATCTCACAATAATCCTTTGAAAGGGAGACTGGAAGCCTCATTTTATAAATGTGGAAACTGAGCAGAGCAACAACACACACCCAAGGTCACATGGCCAGGAAGAAGCCTAGCCAGTTCTCTTAAAGCTCAAGGCCAAATCCACCTCACCAATGAGATGTTGTTTCTGCTCAGGCTTGCACAGGACACCCTGGTACCCACTGGCCACGCTACTCGAAGGGGCCTCTGTCTGACCTCACAGTCCCGTTATTGGCACACCCACAAAGCTGTGCCACCTCCTGCCACACCTGACTACAGACAACTGAGCAGACACGGCAGGCATGGCAGTAAGGGCAGCACTTACTGACACAGAGTGGGTCCCACCGGGATCAAGAGCCAGGTGGCCAGACACTGTGGCCAGAGTTGCGAGCATGCCATGTGCTTAGGGTAGGCCTGGGCCTGGTGGGCACAGAAACAAGGGGCAGAGCTGGGGCACAACCCAGAGGATGGCACACTGATGCCAAAGCAGAGTGACCATCAAAGAAGACGGTCCTGACCTGCTGCCTGGTGCCTGGCAGCCGAGGTCTCTGCTACCTCTCTCTTTTTTAAAAAAAATATTTATTTAGTTAGTTATTATGTATACAATATTCTGTCTGTCTATGCCTGCAGGCCAGAAGGGGGCACCAGACCCCACTACAGATGGTTGTGAGCCACCATGTGGTTGCTGGGAATTGAACTCAGGACCTTTGGTAGAGCAGGTGATGCTCTTAACCGCTGAGCCATCTCTCCAGCCCCTCTGCTACCTCTCTTGCCCACCCTTCCTCTGTGATTGACAGACTTACAGCGGGGGGGGGGGAGAGGGGACACGATGCAAAGGGGTTACTGCACAAACCTCACAGTTGGAGGGCCTGGCGTTTGGTGGTGTGGCCATTCATGTGTCTACACAGTTCAGAAATGACTTGCCACTGTGATAGTTCTGAGTTGGCTCAGGCTGGGTCTCGCATTCTATGTGGGAGCTGGGGCTTGCACACCCAGGATGTTCTGGGCCTGAACTGATGCCTTGACAAGAGTACTGCAGGAGCTAGAGAATGTCGGGCCTCTGTTACCACGCTGTCCGTCACCCAGCGACAAGGACTAAGCTGCTCTACTCAACAGCTGAATGCCAAGAGGGGACACAGAAACAGCAGCCCTTGCTGGGCCTTTCAAAACATTCTATTGTTCAAAATGGGCTGCATAGTGAGGTCCAAGACATCCAGGGCTATCTAGAAAGACCCTGTCTCAAAATACAAAACAAAAACAAACGACAAAAAAACAGATCATAGAACCAGCTCTGACTTAAAGAAATGAAAAGTAGATTCTACTTCTTGATAAGAAAAGTGGCGTGTGCCTACAGGGGTTGGTTATTGGCAGCTGTTTTTGCAGACAATCTGCCACAAAAGATACAAGCAGACCAGTTGCACAGACTTATCTGCCTTTATTTCTCCTTATCCCTGCCTGGAATGTAGGTGTGGTGACTGGAACTTCAGCAGTCCTCTTGTGTCTGTGAGGCAACCTGGGAGATGAGAGCTGCCCACTGAGGAAAGGAGAGAAGGAGGAAGGTTTCCCCCAGAGGATCTGTCCCACCAGGTACGACTCCTTCCAGAGCTACCTGACACGCACAAAGCTTATTTGGTTTCTCCATTATACAAAACACAGTGTGCTCAGCTGCATGTGGACAGCTAAGGGAAGGAATCACAGATGGCCTACACTGAAGCATTTCCTAGTCTAAAAATCTGTCCCTAGGTACAGAGGCTGACCAGGTGGTGCAGTGCCTGCTTAGCTTGCAAGAAGCCCCAGTCTTGACCGCTAGCACCACAAAAAACTGGGTGCAGTGCCCTCAGGAGGTAGAGGCGGGAGGATCAGGATCATCAAACCACCCTCCTCAGCAGCATATAGAATGTGAGGCTAGCCTGAGCTACGAGAGACCCTGTTTCCAAAACCGGATGAGCTGGAGAGATGGCTTAGCCAGGAGTGACTGGTGCGCAAACAGGATCTGAGTTTGGATCCCGGCACCGGCAAAAACCGACTGCTGCAGTTTGCACCAAAAAATGCCGAGTGTGTGGCATGGGGACAGGACAGGTGGGTCCCCGACTTACTGGCCACCTAGCTAAGATAAAACACTAAGAGATTCAAAACTAAAGTGACCGCGCCGCATGGTTTAGAGCCCCCGCTGCTCTTCCAGAGGACCCAGCTGTGACCCTCCAGCACCACACAGCAGCTCACAACTGTCTGTAACTCCGGGTCCTGGGGACCCGATGTCCTCTTTTGTACTCCCTGGGCACCAGGCATGATGTAGTGCACAGACAAACATGTCCGCCAAACATCCACACACATAAGAAAAAAATTTTTTTACAGTAAAATAAGGTATAGAAGCGATTGGGCAAGACACTTCGACCTTAGCCTCTGGCCTCCAGATGTGCAGGCGAATGAACCCGTACAAATTTGCACACACACTCCGAAGTACAAGGTCATTCTCAGCACAGAGCAAGTTCAAGGCTAACCTGGACCACGTGAGTGCTGTTTATAAAATACATTAGCTCTAATCCTGAGTAACTGTGAATATTCAAGCCAAAGGTTTGGTGGTGAGGTTTGGGGAACCCTGGGTTGTAGGAGAAGATGCTAGGCCAGTCCTATTCTTTCGTAGACGCGCTGCTGGAGGAGAGACTCCTTTACAGCCTTGCTACCACAGCGGAGGGAGCTTCGGAGCCGGTTCCTGGCACGGCACTCAGGGGGAAGCAGCAGGGGAAGTTCAACCCGGGTCATCAACCCCACACTCCCGCCTCCCACCGCTCCCTCGCTGTCAGCCACCCCCTCTCATCGCTGATCTCTACTGCCACCGTCTGAGAAACTTCGCTTCTTCCGAATTCACACAACCGGCAAATACCTAAAGCAAGAACAGGTGTGCCCAGGGGACCCCACAGCCGCAAGTCTAGCAAGGGAAGCAAGCTGGGGACTGCAGATGAGAGTGGAGCACACAGGAGGGGTCTGCCATGACCCTCTAGCCTCCAGCAGCGACACCCGGGAAGGATGGCTGCCCAGCAGAACCGATTTCTTTCGCGGTGGCTGAACTTGCCTCCGCTATCATTTCACTCGTTTTCGTATAGAGGTTGGCAAAACTTTTGCATATATTTCAAGTTATTGAAATAGTTTATTGCCCCCCATCTATTTTCAAAGAGCGGTTAGCTATCTAAAAACAAACGATCCCTTTCTGAATATATTTAAATATAATTAGAGAGGCACGGCTGCCGCACACGGTATTATGTAGACATCGTGTAAACAAATTATTCACCGTGCGGGTTGACAAGATCTTGGGGTCCTGCAGTCTAATTTTTAACACTAATGGCTTTTCAGAAATATCCCGGGGCACAGAAAAACAGCACCTGGCAGCCGGCCTCCACATCCCTGTAGAGCTTCGCGTCTTCCCTTGCGGTTCCGCCCGGAGCAAACCTGTTGCCTGCGTGCGGGCCTCCTGCTTCCCGGGCAGGGTGACCGGTTTACAGCGTCGGTGGTAACAGGTGGATTCGGACCTGCGCGGACTCCCGCTCTCCCGGCCCGCGCCGGCGGAGCTGCTAGTCTAGCCGGCTGCTGTCGGGCTGTTCCCCGGGCTAACCTCCCACCCCGCTGCACGTTCTCTTCCCGTGCAATCTCTCCGTCTGTTTCTGCTCCCATCCACTGGGTCTGGAAACGTCCCCGGAGCAGGTCCGTGTCCCCCTTTCCATAGCTCACTGATCCGGCTCCGCACTGCTCACCACAGTCCAAGCCGAGGTCCTCGACGTAATTCTTCACACCCGTTCTAATAAATAGCGATTCTCCAGCCCCCTCACTGACCCGAGTACTAGCGTGACTGTTTTTACCGTTTATACCTCACCTCCTTGGCAGAAGGGTCCTTTCCGCGATCTATGCCCAGGGCTGCAGCCCGGATCCTTCAACACTCGGACTGCCCGAGTCCTCCGCCCGGCCCTGGCCACGACTTGGGGCGAATGGACTGGGCTCCGGGGATGCGCGGTGAAGCTGGCCCGGGATCGCCGGGATCGCCGGGATCGCGCTCGAACCACGGAGGAGTCTCGCCGGGATCGCGCTCGTACCCCAGAGGATGCTTACCTACCTGGTTCGCACTCGGCCCGGATACCGGGATCCCAGTAGTACCTGGGCTCCGTCCCTCAGGATTACACTCGGACTCGCCTTCAGGGTCCGCCGGCTCCAGAGAATGCTTTGCTAGGCAGCAGTGTCAGGGGCTGGGCGGTCAGCAGGGAGTCCCAACCAAGTTATCCCTCGTATCTCTTTTGAGGGGAGCTGCCGAGAGTCTGTGCACCGACCTGGCGGAGCCTGAGTGGTCCGAGGGACTCCTCCAAGCCAGCTTGCCCGCCCACAGACCGGGGTCTCCCTGGTGCTCTTGGTTGCTTCTCCTCGGTAAGAGAATTTGCGCCTCGCGGGGATCCACGCGAAACTAAACTATTTTTCCCTCTGCTGGTGACTGTCGGAAACTGCAAGCGAGCGAAGAAATGCAGAAAGGTTTGCTTCCCTGCTGGCTGCTCACCTGTGTGTGTGTGTGGGGGGGGTGTCTTCCATCCACTACAGGCTTTGGAAATGCGCACTACTTGTAAGCGGATTATTCTGTTGTACTGTGTTTTGTTCTATATGCCACATTAAGAAAATGCAATTCATTTTTAGAGTCATTTCTCCACCTTATTTTAAATATTTATTTATTTTGTTGTATATATAGGGGTGTTTTGCCTTCATGTTTGTGCACTACAAGCATGCCTGGTAAACAAGGAGTCCAGAAGAGGTCAACGGATCCCCTGAATCTGGAGTTACAGGTGGTTGTGAGCTGCTGGTCTACAAAGCGAGTTCCAGGACATTCGGGGCTACACAGAGAAACCCTGTCTCGAAAAATAAACAAAACAAAACAAATTAAAAATAAAAAACAACAAAAGAAGAAGAAAAACTAGCGTTCTCTTCTGGCATTTATGGCTAGAGAACCAAGAACATTTCTGGAGAAGCCATATTTTGATTTTTGGGTTTTATCTCTTCCTGGACTCATAATGTGTGAGATGACCCTCTCAGGAAATGCTGGACCTGGTAGTGCAAAGTCATGGTTTGTGGCTCGTGGAGGGAGCTGTTGACCCGAGAGCAGAGCCGTGGGAAGTGGTGAAAAGAGGAATCAGGGGCTGGGGGTCAGGATCCGAGGGGGGGAAGTATACTGGGCACCTGGGCAGGTCTCTGTGGACAATCAGGACAGTTATTTTAGCGACTCTGCCACTGAGAAAACAGGTGAGAAGTCAAGCAGAGCTGCTGAGCAGGCATTTGAATACAGGAGAGTGGTCTCGGAGAGGAAAGAAAGAGGCAGGGGAAGGACCGGAAGATGGAAAGTAGAGGAGGTGTGATTCTCCCTTCTTTTCTGCCTTACAGGCTGGTAAAAGGGACCAGAGTCTGGAAACAGATGTGGTGTGGTGGCTCACACTTGTCATCTTGGGACTCAGTCGGCTGAGGCAAAAAGTAGGGTAAGATAAAGAACAGGCTGGACTACAGAGTGAGTTTGAGGACACCTTGGACTACAAGGTATGTCTCTACCTCAAGAAAGGAAAAAACTATTTCTTGCCGGGCGGTGGTGGGGCACGCCTTTAATCCCAGCACTCAGGAGGCTGAGGCAGGCGGATCTCTGGGAGTTCGAGGCCAGCCTGGTCTACAAGAGCTAGTGCCAGGGACAGGCTCCAAAGCTACAGAGAAACCCTGTCTCGAAAAACTAAAACAAAACAAAACAAACAAAAAAAAGAATATGCGTGCCAGGCTGGCGTGGTGGTACTTGCCTTTAATCCCAGCACTCAGGAGCCAAGCAAATATGAGAGTTGGAGGCCAGCCTGGTCTACATAGTGAGTTCCAGGACACCCAGAGCTATGAAGAAAGACTCTGTCTCAAAAAATTAAATTAGTAAAGTGAACTCATAAAAAAATGTGCAGGCTGGAGAGATGGCTCAGAGGTTAAGAGCATTGTCTGCTCTTCCAAAGGTCCTGAGTTCAATTCCCAGCAACCACATGGTGGCTCACAACCATCTGTAATGGGGTCTGGTGCCCCTTCTGGCCTGCAGGTATACACACAGACAGAATATTGTATACTAAATAAATATTTAAAAAAAAAAAAAGAAAAACAATGTGCGTGAAATAAATCAAACTAGGGCTGGAGAAATGTCTTGGCCATTAAGGGCATTTACTGGATTAGCATTTAAGAGCACTAATTGTTCTTGCAGGGGACCGGGGTTTCTTTCCCAGCAACCACGTGGCAGCTCTAGCTCCAGTTCCAAGGGTCGGGATACCTTCTGACTTCCCCAGGTACAGCACACAAGAGACGCACATACATACCCGCAGGCAAACACCCATACACATAATATATAAATCAGAGAGGGAGGGAGGGAAGGAAGGAGAGAGGGAGGGAGAACAAACTAGAAGAGTAAAGAAAACCACCTGGATGGCAGTTGACTGATTAACGTTGTTAAATTACCCAGATCTTGACCTGATGGTTAGAAGAAGCAAAACAAGAATGAAGTCAGTGAGGTTGGTGGAGCCTTGGGCTCGGGAGCCTGTTCCATTCCGGGCACAAGAACTTCACTTTGGATGTTACAGGGAGCCACATCAAAACCAGAGGACTAAGAACTCCCGGTGTGAAACCGAGAAGATCGGAACTTCAAAATCGCGAGTGCGTGTTTCCGGAGGGAGTTTGAGTACGGAGGCCCACGATGGTTACACACGAAAGCTGACTTCCGGCGTGGTCTTTCGCGGCGTCTCGGAGGCCGGGCGCGCTAGCTATGCGGCAGAAGCACTACCTTGAAGCGGCGGCTCGCGGCCTGGTGGAAAGCTGCCCTGGCCAGGCCCGCTACCTCCTGTAGGAGAGGGACGGAGGGCGGGCGGGCGGGTGGGCGGCCACGGTGTCCCGGCCTCACTCCTTGCTCTCTTTTGCAGCTGGGCCTACAATTCGACACACGGTAGGAGAACGCCGGCTGCGGTGGCTTCGGCCCGTGTCCCCCAGCTCTGCGCCATTCCGACTTTCCAGTGATCCAAAAGAGAAGGCCGATCGACTTGTCTCATAGAAAAAACAAAGTCCTAGGTTTCTCAGTTGCACGAAAAACCTAAGTTCCAAATTCTTTAATATGTCTTAACCCTTACCATTTGACACATTGGTCAGTCTTTTTTTTTTTTTTTAAAGTGTTTTTGTGCTCTAGCCCACACATTGTGTGTTTGTGTTTCCAAGAGCATGAACGTTGAGAAGTCAGAGAGCTTTGGGAATACACTCTGTCCTGCTAGAGGGATTCCTGGAGATGGAACTCTGTGCCGTGACCCACAGAACCATCTCGATAGCACACTGATGTTCCTGGAAGACCGGTGGTTCTTCTTCTTGCTCCTGTACCTGAGTATACTTTGTTGGTTCTCCTAATCTTCCAAGATCCAAATACTGTGTCCCCAGAACTCAGTTCTTAGATGACAGTTTCTCATTCAGTCTTAGGGTTGGGTACAGTATACTGAGACATTCCTGATTCCAGCCTAGATATCTCCTCCAGATTCTAGACTCATGATCTCACTGCCTTCTTAGCCTTTTTTTTTTTTTTTTTTAAATGACTAGTTCTTCCCACCGGAGTAAACTGATTCTGTCTTTACTTTGAAGCCATTCTTTACTCCCTAACATCTCTCCTTGGTCCTTCTTGTGTCAGCAAATCACATTGGCTTTAAAATACCTCCCCATTTTTATATCCATTGCTTCTAACCTGGTCCAAACAATTAGTGTTCTTCTCCTGGATTGCTGCTAACTGTATTCCTGCAGCCTGTTTCTAAGCCAGCATGCCAAATAACCTCTGTGACATACTTTGTTCACTTGACTCCAGCCACACCAGACCTGCTTGCTGTTGTATTCCAGGGCTTCCCCGAATGCCTTAGCATGCCTGGGACTCTACTTATTGCCTGCTGTCATTTCTCTCTACAAATGTCATTTGATGAAGCCTTCCCTAGCCACCTTCTTTAGTTACAATAACAGGACCCTGATATCTGATCCCCTCCCTTACCCCCATCCCCTGGCCCAGCACTCTGATGTTGTTTGTCATCTGGTTGTCCATTGTTCACAGTACCCCAAAAATACTGGTTGTACTAATATGAAAGAAAGGGAGGGAGGGCAAAGCCTGTGCAATTTAAGTGTGGTAAATGTATTGATAACGAAGCAACAAATGAGCAAAGTAGTAAAGGCCAGCAGCCTGCCTGTACGTTGCTGAAGGAGTAGCTGGAGGGAATTAGAGAATTTTGTAAAGTACATCACTGCCAGTTTGCTTTTATGAATTTTCGTATCTAGAGTTTGCTTCAAGAGACTATCTGCTGATAACATGGGTATATTTATCTTTTTCCCATTTATGATGCCATTTGTTTGAGGTAACAAACATGCTCACTTGTGAATTTGGTTTATGTAATTGTAGAGGAGAACAGCACTTTTGAAGAAACATGTCCACACTGCTTCCAGTTGTTGGTTCTGGATAACTCTAGAGTGCGCCTCAAACCCAAGGCCAAACTGACACCCAAGATACAGAAACTCCTTAATCGAGAAGCAAGAAATTATACACTCAGTTTTAAAGAAGCAAAGCTGTTGAGAAAGTACAAAGACTCCACAAGTGTTCTGGTAAGGTTGCAACTCTAGTACATAAAAATGTGGTTTTATTTTGTCTTCCGTCCCTTAGGTCAGAAATCAGCCTTCCAGCATCTGGACTGTTAAGGGCACACACAGTGTTTCTGTATCAGCAGTTCACCAAGGGCACAATTTACTTTTATTATTTAGAGACAGGGTTCTCTTATGTAGCCCTAGCCGTTGTAGAACTCATGGCCTCAAACTCAGGGATCCGCCTTCCTCTGCCTCCTGAGTGCTGGGATTAAAGGTGTGTGCCACTATACCAGCTAGTTTTATTATTACTATTATTATTGATAACTGCCTGAAAACAAGTGACGGACGAGCTGCCTGTGCTCACGTCACTGTTTTCCAGTGTAACTCACAGGATAGGGTACCACTTAATCCTTCCTTTGGTGACACTACCCTTGTGTACAGTCCAATGTCAGCATGTAAGTACTTGTCCACCCGGCAAAGTGTTTAGTATCAGGAATACAACAAAAATTCCCTAGGGCTTACAAGATGAAGCCCACCATCAGATATGTTTTATATCTTGCATGCTCTGTGTGAACATTATCAGCCTACTCAAGTACTTGTAGGCACTGGATATTACTATAGTTTAGGTCTGGCCTAAGACAGGGTCTTGCTATGCAGCCAAAACTGGCCTTAAACCTACTGTGTGGGGTAGGCTGATCTCAACCTGTGAGCCTCCTGCCACAGGAAATTGTTAGAAAACATCGCTGCAACATATTTGGAAAATGTTCCTATAGGAAGATAAGTCTTCTGATGTTTTACTTTGCTGAAGTTTTAGTTAGCGATCACTAGAAAGGCTCAGGATGTTTAGCTAATTTATCCTTTTTTTTTTTTTTTTGATTTTCGAGACAGGGTTTCTCCGTAGCTTTTGGTTCCTGTCCTGGAACTAGCTCTTGTAGTCCAGGCTGGCCTCGAACTCACAGAGATCCGCCTGCCTCTGCCTCCTGAGTGCTGGGATTAAAGGCGCGCACCACTACTGCCCGGCTAGTTAATTTATCTTAATCTGTATGCGATCTTTTCCCAAAAACTATGAGGCAGCAGGCCTTTAATGCAAATTGCTATAGTCACACTTCTACTGCTGCGATAAAACACCACGACCAAGGCAATTTATAAAAGAAAGTGTTTAATTAGGCTTACGGTTCCAGGACTAGACTCCATAGTGGCTGAATGAAGGAACAGCTGAGGGCTCTCATCTTGATTCACAACCTTGAGGCAGAGAGAGACACTGGGAGTCACCATCTTTTGAAACTTCAAAGCCCGCCCCCAGTAACACTTCCTCCAGCAAGGCTAACATCCTAATCCTTCCCAAACAGTTACACCAACTGGATTTCAAGCACGTGAGCCTATGGGGCTGTTCTCAAACCACCACACAGATCTTCATTTGCATCTTTGTCGGTGTTTGAAATCTGAGTACCTCAGATTTACATTCTAATGAGACATGAGCTATGTAGAAAAGGCATTTAAGTACCAAGTGGACCATGTCTTAACAGTACATCCTACTGGGGCTGGAGAGATGGCTCAGCAGCTAAAAGCATGTGCTGCTACTTAGTTCCCAGCAGCCATTCCAACACAACCTTTTGTACCATTTTTTGGCCTCTTCATGGGACCAGTCATGTACATGGTACACATATATTTGTATGGGCAAACATCTATATATAAAACAAAACAAATATTAAATCTGAACCCTATAAGAGTTAACTTCTAGAAGCAATGATGGGAACTGAAAGGTTTTTACAGTCATACCAACATTTACAGAATCACTATGGATCCTAAGGCACTACTTAAAATGTCAGCGATCTGCCATGTTTTGTTGGGAAAATAAATCTAAAATATACCATCATAAAGGAAATAGTCAATCTTTACTGCTGTTACAAAGACTAGCCAAATGTTAGTGTCTGGTCTCTAAAACCCAGTTCCCACACAAACCAGTTTCATGTTGAAGAAGTACAGCTTATTATATTTTTTAAAATTATTTTATTTTGAGATAAACCATTTCCCCCTTCCCTTTCCTCCTTCCATACCTCCCATGTACCTATTGCTCTTTCAAATTCATGGACTCTTTTTTGTTTGTTACATGCATATATGTATGTACATATATATTCCTAAATATAACCTGCTATGTGTATGTACACTTTCAAGACTGGGCATTTAGTATTAGATAGCCAGTTGGTGCGCTCTTCCTTGGGGAAGACTATTCCTCCTGCTTTCCACATTTCTTAGTTGCCTATAGTTCTTTGTATAGCATTTTAAATAACTATTTAGCCTATACCCTCTTATTAGCAATACTGTTGTTTTTATAATTTGTCTTGTCAGATTCCTCCTGGTAGACTGGGGGTAGCCTCTGTGCTAACTTGCTTCTGTCATACTGACATAGAACCTGAGGATACCTGTGGTTTACTGAGTTACATTACCAGAGAACTCATGGCACCAACTTCTTTTTGTGGTAGCTGGTTACCTGTAGAACATGCAACAAAACAGTGAAACACCATGGCAAGAGTAGAAGCTTCCTGTCAGCACTGAAGAGCAACACAGCCACTGCTACAAACAAAGCCAACCTGAAAACACCAAAGAGAAATACCCCAGGCTCCACGCACCCAAGTCATAAGATGTCTGATTCCAAAGGCAAAAGCCCCTTTTTGACTTTCAGGTACCTTAATTTGTTAGCTGCTATGAAGTATGAAATATCACTTAATATGCACTCTTGAGTATTCCATGTACCTTGGCACATTTTCTTTTTGTTGTTGTTGTTGTTTGTTTTTTGAGACAGGGTTTCTCTGTTGATTTGGAACCTGTCCTGGAATTCACTTTGTAGACGGGATTAAAGGCGCGCGCCACCACCACCCAGCTTCTTGGCACATTTTCTTCAGGAGCCTTTGGTTTCTAATCCTCAACTCTTAAATCGGTGCATGTGACTTCTATGCCGTCTCTTAGCACCTGACATACACCCACAGCCAACTTTACCAAGGCTTTCCTCCCTCCTGTTTAACTCTGGACAAAATGCCCTCCTGTACAAACTCATTAAAATGGCAGGAGGATCGCTAGCTTCTACACCTTAGTCTTTTTTTGTTTTGTTTTGTTTTTCAAGACAGGGTTTCTCTGTGGCTTTGGAGCCTGTCCTGGAACTAGTGTAGACCAGGCTGGCCTCGAAGTCACAAAGACCCACCTGCCTCTGCCTCCCAAGTGCTGGGATTAAAGGTGTGTGCCAACACTGGCTGGCTTTCTTTTTTTTTTTTTGTTTTTTCGAGACAGGGTTTCTCTGTAGCTATGGTACCTGTCCCGGTAACTAGCTCTTGTAGACCAGGCTGGCCTCGAACTCACAGAGATCCGCCTGCCTCTGCCTCCCAAGTGCTAGGATTAAAGGCGTGTGCCACCACCGCCCGGCTAACCTTAGTGTTTATTACCAGTTTCTACCTGTTCTTTCCTGCTGCTGCTGTCCTCAGTGACTTTTTATGAGGACTATAGCAGTGATCTCCTGATGAAGACCTGGCTAACATGCAGCTCTGTCAGTAGCATTTAACCCTGACTCTGTGGCATGGGTCAAATACGTGATCATGTCTTCCCAGCCCCACTCCTGCCTGCCCATTGTGTCCTTCCTTGGCTTATTCTGTGCCACCAAACCTGAAGCCCTCACACCATGTCTCCAAACTGTACCACTTTGCTTTGTCACAAATGCTCGTTGGAATCTAACTGAATGGAGATTTGCCAGAGATGGCGAGTTCTCATTCTAGGACTCCTCAGTACTATCACTGTGCAGTCATAAACTTAAATGCAACTCCAAAGATACTGTGGGAAGAATTTAGAGAATTTTCTTACAAAAGAAACTGAAATATCTTGAGCATAAACAACAAAATCTAGCAAGGACTGAGTTGTTTCTGTTCAATGTTTGAAATTTCTATTGAGTTCAAAGTTTATGATACTGAGTTAAATTGTCAAGTCTACTTTTATGTATATTATTTAGTCAGTATTTGTATAAGAATTCAACAGAAAATGTCACTTTTTGTGTAAATATGGATAAAAGAAAATGTGGCATATTTAAAACAATTTAGTTGCATCTGGGGTACTGGGGACAGGGTTCAGTTGGTAGTCGGTAAGCACCAAGACCTGAGCTCAGATCCCCAGCACCCACAGGAACACTCATACTAGATGGTGAACGGCCTCTTCTGTGGATGTCTGTGGAGTGTGCCATATGCACCTGGCACCACCTGCTAGGCTGGTGTCTGTCTGTGGCACTGCCAAGTCTAATGGGGAAGACAGGTGGAATGGTGCCGCCCAAGCCTTTCACTGTTGAGGAACGACGTGGTCTTCAGTTGTAAGGATGGAATGTTCTTAAAGTTCTCACTTAGAATTGTCATGAATCCTGCAGTCAGGTGGGAAGAGAACTCAGCCTGATAACATTACCTCCCGGTTTATCTTTCGGGTATCATAGGTACTTCTAGAACCATCCAGTGCGCCTCCTAAATGGTGTCAGAACCTGATATTCCAAGAGGTTTTCGTTGTTGTTAATGAGAATTACTATGATGAGGACAGCCAGTGCCCATAGAGAGCTGAAATTCATGTGGTTTGCTGAGTAGAAGATGCTGGGAGGAGTTCTCTACAGAAGAATGTCCTTTGGCAATGTGTGAACGGTAGTCATTCTCTCGTTTCAGAACACCTGCATCTGGACAGTCAACACCCATCTGCTCCTCAAGGAGTGGGAGCAAAAGAAAGAAACACTTCTCTCAACTAAAAGCGCTGCTTAGTCAGAGTGCATCTGAGAAGAACCCAAAGCTGGACTTCAGGCACTTCTTATCTTCTCTGTGAAGAGAACGGCCTTTGAAAAGGACTGGACTGCCTAGTGCAGGTTCTCAGACTCCAGTTCGTTAACAGCTTTTGTCTTCTCTTGGATTTTTGAGCACATGGAGACTTGGTCCAAAAACAAGCTCTTGGCATCCTTTGGTGCTTATGCAGAAAATGCCTCATTAAATCAAGTGACTGGGACTCCCCTGGTAAATGTGAAGATGAAATACAAAAGAGCAGACCAGAGAGATGGCTCAAGGGTAAAGGCACTGGGGCCATGCCTGACACACAAGGCAGAGAGAACCCACGGTACCAGTTGTTTCTGACATGCACATGAGTGCCCCCCCATATACAAAGAGTCAATGTAATAAAGGGTTGAGGGTTTAAGAAACTGACAGTTCTTACAATAAAGATACAGTGGATTTTGAATGGTAGCATTTATTTCATTTTTAACAGTTTTTATTGTCATTTATTTCCAAAGGAAACAAAGGTCTTCAACATAAAATACAAATGACGACTTCTTTCAGCAGCATACAAAAAAAAAAAAAAAGCCTGTATTTTAAAAAATATTTTCAAAATTTAGGCCAGGCCACCAGTGGTGGCGCACGCCTTTAATCCCAGCACTCAGGAAGCAGAGGCAGGCTGATATCTGTGAGTTTGAGGCCAGCCGCCTCGTCTACAGAGCTAGTTCCAGGACAGGCTCCAAAGCTACTGAGAAACCCTGTCTTGAAAAGCGCCCCCCCCCCCCAAAAAAAATCAAAACTTTTAGTGTAATGTAGTATGGTATCATAAATATGGTCTAGATCCACATGGTGCACCAGTGTGGCAAAGACAGAAATCAAAGCAAGAAAAAACAATATTTTAGACAAATGATGTCTGATAAATGTCTACAGCTTTCTAAGAAACTAAAGTCTCTGAAATGACAGATAACAAGCACTGGGATATTCAGAGGTCATTAACTGCCAAAAATAGACCTCATAAATGCTGTATTTCACATATGGCCGAGTAACATCTAAAACTAAAATTGCGTGCCTACCGTACTGGTTTATTTGAAAAAGTGATTATTTCACCAACTATAAAGATGTTAAAAATATTCCAAGAGGGCTGGAAGGATGACCAGTAAGCAGAAGCAGTTACCGCCAGACAACGGCCTGGGTAATTCCCAGGACCCGCATGGTGGAAGGGGGAGCCGACCCCTACAAGTGCTATGTGTATAACCGAACGAGGACTGGAGACAGTGCAGTGATTAAGAGCACTTACTGCTCTTGCAGAGGGCCTCACATCCATCCAGAACTCTAGTTCCAGGAGATCAGATGCCCTCTTTTGATCCCCCTGGGCATTAGGCATGCACTTAGTACATGGACATACAAGCAGGCAAACACTAAGATGTAAATACATCTAAAAAAAAATCCATAATGAAAATTCTTTCCTAAATTGTAAGACATTCCTCTAAATACTGTTATTAAGTGGTATGCTCTAAAGTGTGTACTACTTAAAAACTGCTTCTTAACTCTGGCCCTGCACCGTATCACTAGAAGTGCTGCTGAAGAGAAAAACCACGTTAAAAACCAATAAGCTCAGTCACTGGAGTTAGCTTTCTGTAAGTTCACAGTGGGGAATTAGATGACTGGAAAGGATCTTGTTTTATGCTACTGATTTAAAATTTTACTGTTCTATTCCATTAATGAGCATAAAAGGAAGCAAAGAGACAGGGACTGACAACTGTTGTCTGTCTTCCTTAATGCTACTAAAGACATTTAGACTAGCTCCTCAAACAGAACGCTAAACGTGTTGCTATCTTGGGCGTCTATGCCAATAGATAGGTACATGATGAACTGGCCGGGAAGCTCACCTGAGGCCCTACAACACTCACATACCAGCTCAAAACCAGATGAAAAGTGTTAACTGCAGCTCAGATCTGAAAACCACAACCAAACCCCACTCCCCTACTTATGGCAGTATAGTGAATATAATGAGATTACACAATAGCACTGGGAGTGATTTAACAGCTTGGTCTCAGGAAGAATTTGCTGTCTATAATCCCAGAACTCTGGAAGACGGTGAGTTCAAGGCCAGTCTGAACCGTAGGTGAGACTCTGTGACAACAAGCAATAGCAAAAAGAGACATTATTATTTGGGGAAAGCCATATATTAATATATGACGTTTAAATTCCTCCTTCAACTTGTACTTCTGTAAGTAAGGTAAAGTTTTATTTGGTGAACAAAGAAACATATTGCTTGGTGGCAGAGTGAGTGACTACCATGGGCAAGGTACTTGGTTCCATTCTCAATAGCACACACAGGAAGACAGAATTAACTGAATAGAGCAGTATTTCTAGATATATCTGGATTGGCTAATCCAGATATATCTAGAATATATCTGGTTCTGAATCACAATTATTTGAATTAATTCAAAGTTCAAATTTTAGCCGGGCAGTGGTGGTGCACACCTTTAATCCCAGCACTCGGGAGGCAGAGGCAGCCTGGTCTACAAGAGCTAGTTCCGGGACAGGCACCAAAGCTACAGAGAAACCCTGTCTCGAAAAACCATAAAAAAAAAAAAAAAAAGTTCAAATTTTGTGTTTCTCCATGAAGCACAACTCAAATGTGCTAATTCTAAAGTTTGTTACATATCTCACTTTAGCAACAGATTAGGAGCACTGGTGGATGCTTAAGATAGGATGTTCAGGGGCTGGAGAGATGGCTCAACAATGAAGAGGTTTACTGGTCTTGCAGAGGACCTGAGTTGTGTTCCAAACACCAACTTCAGACAATTCACACAGCCTATAACTCCAGTTCTAGGGGTATCCAAAACCCCTGACCTGCAGGTACATGTACATATCTGTACGCGCACATACACATGAGATAAAATAACAAAATGTTCTTTAAAAAAATGGGTTTTTTTTTAATCTTAATTATCTAGGATTCATTTAAGAGGTGCATATACCTAACCTTGGATATTGTGATTCTGTAAAACTGGGCCCAATAATTTGTACTAAGAACAAGTTCTTGGCCAAGGCTAATGGTTCTGATCTAATATGCCCCTAGCTTAGAAAAATAAAATTCTGAAAATTGTATTATTCCATTCCCACTAGCTTTTAGACATTTGAAGACACATGAGCAGCTGAGTAGTAATCTGTGCCTCAAAAACACTCCATCAAACATCACTTGAAATCATCTCTATCAGTAGTTCACTCTAACTGCCATGCTGGTACACACCTATAATCCAGATAGATAGATAGATAGATAGACAGACAGACAGAGATGATAGATAAATTTTTAATATATTCATTCATATTTTGTTTTTTCGTGATAGGGTTTTCTCTGTGTAACAGTCTTAGCTGTCCTGGAACTAGCTCTTGTAGACCAGGCTGGCCTCAAACTCACAGAAATCTGCCTAATTCTGCCTCCCAAGTGCTGGGATTAAAGGCATGTGCCACCTCCACCTGGCAAATAAATTTTTAAAGGTGATTTTCAGCTTTTCTAACCTGGGAGGGAGTAAAGGAACGCGGACAGTCTCATGGAATCTAAGATTTAAAGGTGGGGATTGATGGGAAATAAACAGAGCAAGCAGCAATTAATATTAAACAGAGAAGCCGGAAGAAGGAACAGTGAATAGACAAGGGAACAATGAAGGGAAGAGACAAGACAGCTCCGCTGGAAACAGAATGAGCAGGTTAAGCAGTGCAATCAAGGGCAGTCCAAATCAATGTGAGCACTGAGCAGGCTGAGGCAGCGAGACCCCACCCCCAGGCCAGCTTAGGTGTCTGTGAGAAAGCCTAGCAAACCAACAAAACCAAACCAAAGGGAAAAAGAACAAGGCAAGGCAGAGCTGGTTCGGTGAACTGCAGGTTAGATATTATTATTATTATTATTAACAACAACAATAATAATAATAAAATGTGAAGGAGAACTGGGAAGGTGCAGAGTTGTCATGCAGACCCTTGGGGTCCCTCACATGCATACCGGGCTTGCCTCTTTGCAGCCTCTGGCATGGGATTCTGAGGCGGAACATGTGGCTATGGATTCTGTAGCTTATAAAGCCTACATTCTACTAGAGTAATGCGAACAGGAAGCACATGAATTCAGATGAAGTGGCTAAGTGCCATGTAAGAATGGGGGGAAAGGCACTAGCCAGAGGACCGTATTTCCCAAATTTCCCAGAGTGCAAAAATCAGGACAGTTTGACCTTTTCTAGTAACTTCAACTAAGTCGTGTGTGTGAGTGGTGTGTGTGTTGTGTCAGAGATCTAACCAGGGCTGTAGTCTTATTTACAAGCCTTCTACAACTGAACCACTTTCCCAGCCACAGCTGAGGCTTATCAAAACTCTTGCCCAAACAGATTTTTAGTATTTCCAATTTTACATTAAATCCAAAGCATGAAAACAAGTGGTTTAGCTACCACTACAGCACACCTGATTGTGATCCCTAGCACCACAAAAATTAATTCAGGATGTCACAGGAAGCCTATACTCCAGGAAGCTTCGGGTATTGACTGGCTGTCCACTTGAAAGCACTGTACTAGTGGGGCATGTAACAAGTGGCTCTTCTCTGCCTCCAAGGAGCCAACTATGTGATGAACTGTAAACCTGTACTTCATCATTACCCATAATTCGTGTGTGTGTATGCATGGTACATGTACCCAAGCTGAGCCTAGAACAGGACATTGGGTTTCTTTCTCTGCTGCTCTCTGTACCTTGAGATAGGGTCTCTCATTAAACCTGAAGCTATTCTGGCTATCCTAGCTGGCCAGGGAGCTCCTGGAATCTGCCTGTCTCCACCCCCAGGACTGGCACTTGTAACCATGCCCAGCTTTTTATTCAGGTGCTGGGAAACCAAACTTAGGTCCTCATGTTTACTTACTGCAAGGGCTCTTACCCACTGAGCTATTTCCCCAGCCCCTGCTTAAATATTTGAGATAAGAACTTGGCGCTCAGCCACCTGCAACTTAACAAATGACATAGTAATACTGATAGTCCTACAAGTCTGGACTACTGACCAAGTACAGGGACCTCTTTTTGTAGTTTCTGCTTCACTGACACTTCCAGGACTTTGCCAACTCCCTCCTCCCTTTAGCCCCATGCCTTTCTGTCCTTTATGCAATCAACTGGAGTCACCAAAAAAAAAAAAAAAAAAAAGGAAAAGAAAAAGAAATCACACGCACAAAAACTCTTCAAAAAGAACATAAAACTTTATTAATATCTTATACTGTCTTCAGATACAGCTAAAGGGTTTGTAAAAGACAGGGAGAATCCTTTTCCCATGTGCTCCTGTCACCTCAGACTGACTGTAGATGGCAACAAAAGCTCTGTATAACCAAATCCATTAAGTGACACACGTTCCCTTTCTGTACAGGAGAGCCGAGTCCACACTGTTAGCAACTTTGTAGAGCACACCTGGGAAGCACGGCTCATCTTTAGGAGTAACTC